AAAGCAAACTACAGCACCCGCCAATCACCTGAACAGAGCTAGGTGGGCAAGGAAATTTTGAAAGTACCAAAATAACACTGTAGTTCATAATAGTAATAGTCCAATGTCCCCATTTAGCCCCATAATGTTTGAAAAACCTCTAAAGACAGAAATGGACTGGGATAATGAAAACCAACAAGCAAACAGACATGAAACAAGGTGAAGAGTGTCTGGAGCAGAGGAAAATGAAAGCTATGACATGACAAATGAATAGCCTAGGGGGGGGGTGAATAAGGGTAGGGGTTGTTTGTCAGTCGATTAGATATAGATCTATAGAGTAAATCTAGGTTCTCAAAAATCCCACAGCCTGTTCAGACAAGAGATCCGTTCGAAAGAACTAGATCCAGCAATCGTCCGTTAATTCACAGCAACTGCCCGGACCACAAGTAACTGACTCAGCATTCCAGCACTACGTCCAGTACAGGTAGGCCCCTACATTGCCCACTCCACCCAAGGTCAAAGTTGATAATATCGGAACATGAAATCGTAAAGCTTGCAATACATTGAGCTCATTGTCAAAGTTTCGACCGAAACAATCAACACTACACTACAAAGCAATGTAGACGTAACCGTAACCCTATCCGTTCGTCGTGTTTTACTATCCATACGACGTGGGGAACTCTGTGTCACCACTTTCCAAAGCGGAAATTTACCCGTTAATCCGATCTGTACGCTTTGCATAGCAGTCTGTCAAAATGATTTTTTTTAGAAATACTGAAAGTTTCAAAGACATCTTCGCACTATGCGTATTCTAAAAATGTGAAGGGTACAACCCCAGGGGTACAAAATGACCCTAGGTCGTACGCATAGGGTTAAGCAATCTTGTAGTATACTACACTAAGAGTTCAAGCACAGTGAGTGAGCCAATCGCCGGCACAATCCAGCAACCGCGACATGGAAACTCTGTGTACACAGAGAGGGCCTTAATTATACACTACTTTTACATTGAGCCTTGCCTTACATACAGTGGCGACCGTCACAGCGCCAGTTTGTCCTTGTGCTAATAGACCTGTTCCACGATCAGGGTTTTGCTGGATGTTTCAGCTTTCTTGCTTGAATGAAAAAATTGGGTAGTTGTTTTGTTTGTTTGTTTGTTTGTATGTTTGTATGTTTGTATGTTTGTTTTGTTTTGTTTTGTTTTAGCTCAGATACAATCACGTTCCAGCGGCGGAGCAGGAATGCGTCGGCCCAAAAACGGTATAATTAATTATACCGGTATACATGCATGGACAAATTACAAGATGGAACGCATGATCCGCATTCTGATAATAAAGACTTTGCGAAAGATTGACAATGATGACCATGGAAGTTAAATTTAGATTATTGTAAAAGTGAACTGCATTACCTTTGTTGCACAACAAAAGCATTTGCCTTTTTATGTTTTGATTTGAAGTATGTTTAACGTATGCCTCTGATAGGACACCCTGATTTGAGGGAATTAAGGATGATGATTGTCCGAAAAGATGAAAAGAGATTTTCTTGTACATGTGATATAAATGATTATTTTCATTTGTCTGATGTTGAGTAAACAATAAAGACACATTCTTTATAACAATCGAGACATTTTTATTTCTCCAACAGAGAATAAGAAATGAAAAGAAATTATTAGTGGTCGGAGAAATTGGTATTGATGGGAAGTACTCGTTATTTGTATCGAATCAAATCTTTTAACTCCATGATGGTTAGAAGACAGGTAAAACAGGCCATATTTTAGAGCGGCTTAAAAATAATAATATCATAAATGAAACGCATCATCTAAACTCTGGCCGTGCCACAGGCTTAGCAGAGCTGTGAAGGCCGCTACTGTTTAGTTTTAGTTTTAGTAGAGGTTTTACGGCAATCGCAACTGCATAAGGTGATGTAAGCGCCAGAAGATTAGAGGTGTTACAAGAGAGTAACAAACATAAAAAGGGGAAGAGGAGATAAGGACGATATGTTTGATAGGAAATAAGAAGTAAACCACACCAGAGCACCCGCCAACCACCCACAGGCCGCTACTGTGTTGAGAACAATGTAAAACAAGTGTGTAAATTATGATCCGCGATTTGAGACGGCGTAGGAAAGGGACTGTGCCGGCCAGCGAAGGGTTCATTTCACTGTGTTTGAGCTCTACTAAGCTTGACCGTATTATCACCTGTGCTATATTTTGAACCCGGCGGTCTTGTTATACATTCGGAAGGCTACCTTGAACGTCATTGCTTCGTTGACCAGTCTTTAGGGTGGGCTGCGTATGTTTCTGTTGGAAGTTGATCGCTATAGAGAGATTGAGGGATTGTGGTAACGGTAATTCATTAGTACATTTTTTTCTTCTCTAATGGCTGGACGTGTTCATCTTGTGTTCGTCGTCGTAGTTTTGCTTACTACCTCTCTTGTGAGGGAATGTCAAGCCACCGCCCCCACCGTGTCTGCCCCTGCTGGCAGATTCCAGGGTCTTCTGGAGAATGATCAGAAAGGCCAGCCGTATTTTGCCTTCAAGGGGATTCCATACGCAAAACCACCGGTTGGAGAACTACGATTTGCCTTGCCGGAACCTTTGCCCAAACTAGGTAGGTTGGTGCTGGATTTTTACTCTCTAAATGAAAAACATTATTTTGATTTCCAACTTTAAAAAGAAGCGTCAAGGTTCTTTATTCATGCACAAAAGCATATTTTATTCCCTATTCTCAGACTGGCAGGCACCTTTGTTCTTGATGAATGTTGAAATTTGAATGGTTTGATCCCTTTGATTGTGGGCTGTCAAAACACACCCTGAAATATTAAGTACAGACGGTTAGTTAGTTTATAGATACAACATTGTAATATAACGCCCACACCTGTAGAATGATACAATGTCTTGAATTGGTCCCAAAACCAAATTAGCAGGCACAACAGCAGTAAGTGTCAAGTACAAGATAGTCACAAGCGCAGCAGCAACAACAGCAGCAGCAGCGGCAACAGTTTGTTGTAGTAGTAGTAGTAGTAGTAGTAGTAGTAGTAGTAGTAGTAGTAGTAGTAGTAGTAGTAGTAGTAGTGGCAGCAGCAGCAGTTACAGCAGCAGCAATTACAATTACAACAGTAGCAACAACAGCAGCAAAACTTGCGCTCGATGCGTAATAACTGCAACCGGCAACAATAACTTGAGCTGCAGCAGAAAAATGAAGCATAGAGCATACAGTTTCACGACGAGTGTGGTTCCCTTACCTGGACTAATAATAATAATAATAATAATAATAATAATAATAATAATAATAATAATAATAATAAAAATAATAATAATAATAATGATAATAATAATAATATTAATAATAATAATAATAATAATAATAATAATAATAATAATAATAATAATAATAATTTACATGTACATGTAATTTTGGCAACCAGCTCGTTGTGGGGACAGAAAAACGGGATCGGAAACTATCTAGAAGTAGAGGTGGTTCTTCTCCGTATATTGCTTTTTGTTGAACGAACTGGGTTATGGCGATCAATGCTGCCGGTCTCTTAGTGCACATTAATTGATATAATTATAATGCGTGCGAACCACACACCCCTGAACGTCCCCCCCCTCCTTATATTCCAGCGTCAAATTAAACCTTTAAATACCCCCCCCCCCTAGGGAAGTGCTACTGACTGAGGTGTCTTTAGGCCATCCCCAAAGGGGGGATATTAACTTGTTCTTATGCACAGTGGAATTGTAAATGGGCTGATTTATCTGGCTGATTTATCAATGCCATGCTCATACTATACCGGAACAACATAGGGGGAACTGCTGTTTTTTCTTTCCTCATCCTTACTGTCGTCATTTTCCTCTACTTCTTTTGTATGTTTGTCACTCTCTTGTGAACTGTTATTTCCAGGGTGTCTTGATAGTCGAAGCAGACTTTGTGCTGTTGAGGCTAGAGGGATGAGCAGAGTAAGCCTGATTTCCTGTTTGGACTTCTTTGTTGACATCCACCCCTTGGCGCTCATATGAACTTATGCAGTTGCGAGCGCCGCAAAATCTTACTAAAATGAAACATACCGTTAAAATCGTGTAATTAAATTTATGAACTGAAATCGGAAATCAGTTTCCGTGTATCAATTAACACTATTTGTTCCGCCAATAATATTTTAGAAAATCACATTCTTTCTATCATTCCTTCTTTCGTTTGCTTTCCTTCTTTCATTTACTCACTTATAATGTTTTCAAATAGTGTGTTTATAAATGAATGTCTGCATCAATCTCTCTCTCTCTCTCTCTCTCTCTCTCTCTCTCTCTCTCTCTCTCTCTCTGTGTGTGTGTGTGTCTGTCTGTCTGTCTTCCCGTCTGTCTTCCTGTCTGTCTATCTGTCTGTCTGTCTGTCTGTCTGTCTTTCTGTCTGTCTTTCTAGCTGCCTGTCTATCTGTCTGTCTGTCAGTCTGTCTGTCTTTCTCGTTCTCTCCCCATCTCTATCTCTGCATCTCTCTCTCTTTCTTCTCTCTCTCTCTCTCTCTCTCTCTCTCTCTCTCTCTCTCTCTCTCTCTCTCTCTCTCTCTCTCTTTCTCTCTGTGTGTCTTTCACTCTATCCCTTTCTCTTGACGCTTGTAAACAATAACATTTTGAAGAGAGTGGTAATGTTTTACATCGCCAGAGCGTTCTGGAAGTAACTCGTATCTATTACAATTATTGTGTCTTTTCAGACGGAACATTCGACGCGACAAAATATGGGCAGATATGCCCCATGCCAGACATGTATTTGGAACTCGCAGACATGAAACAAGGTGAAGAGGACTGCCTCTTTTTAAATATCTACGCCAAAGAGTTGGCTCCATCGTCTCCCAAGAAGGTCATGGTCTTCATACACGGCGGGGGGTACGTCGTTGGGAGTTCTAATGAGTACAACACAGGCAATGTTGTGACGACTCACGACATTGTTTTCGTTACCATCAACTACCGCTTGGGCGTTCTTGGTTTCCTCAGCACTGGGGATCAGTCCAGCCCTGGAAACTTTGGGCTCTGGGACATGACCTTGGCTTTGAAATGGGTCAAGAACAACATAGCGTCTTTCGGAGGCGACCCTAACGACGTCACCATATCAGGGGAGTCTGCTGGGGGTTCTGCCGTGGGGTATCTTTCCATCTCCCCTCACACCAAAGGACTTTTCTCTAAGGCGTACCCACAGAGCGGAACTCCTACTTCAGCATTCGGCAAAGCACTGGATCCACAGAAAGATGCTTTAACTTTCGGTGCCAGTGTCAACTGCTTTGAAGGCGACGCCTCGCAAAAAGTTGACTCTGATACGACCAGGACAGTGGTAGAGTGTCTGCGCAACCTGCCCCTGTCTAACTTCACCCAGTACATGGTGTTTGGTGTTGACAAAACTGTTTTTGTTCCCATAGTTGACAAAGACTTTGTCCCGAGACCACCTCTGCAGCTACTCCAAGACGACAGTTACCTGGAAGACGTAGGTTTCTTCAAAAGATCGTACCTTGTAGGGATTGATAACAACGAAGCTTCCATTATGAGAAGCCATGCTGGGACCTCTTTAGCTATTGCTATTAACAGCCGGGACGATATCACTGACGAAGAAAAAGCAGAACTATTGAGAAAAACACTATCTTCAGCGTACAACTTTTACGCTCGGTCCCGAATGGACGCCCCGGTGTCGACCACCATCGTTGACAAAATCGTTAGTTGGTATGACAGACGATATGGGGATGATATTCTAGCAATGTTAAGCAGTGATTTGAACTTTGAGGTTCCTACTTTCGATTTTATAGACGCTGCCTCCAGAGGAAGAGATACTAAAGTTTGGCTTTTCCACTTTAATCACTTCCCGAGATTTATGAAAGGAAAAGAGAAGGGCATTGTTCACGGACTTGATTTGTGTTACTGGTTTGATTTGTCCGTGGAAAGGATGGAGAAACTTCTCAGACAAGGAATGGATGGTACAATAGGAATGGATGACGAAGATTTGGACCTCAAGTCACGACTTTCCAAAATCATCGCAGACTTCACAAAAACTGGGTAGGTCCTAAGAGTTTCTTGTTTTGTATTTTCTACTTTTCAACTCGATGTAAGTTTGGGCTTCTAACCAGACATATAACTTAATATAAATATATTTAAGATAAGATGCAATAAAATAGAACAGGACCTTGATAGGAAAAGATAAGATATGACAAGGTAAATTAAGGTTAGGTAAGGTAAGGCAAGGTAAGGTAAGGTAAGATTTTATTGACCCCCACAAAGAGAATCTTACTGCAGCACGGTATGCATACGCACATGTCTGCACACAGTAACAGTCTCTCTGTCTCGGTCTCTGTCTCTGTCTGTCTGTCTGTCTGTCTGTCTCTCTCTCTCTCTCTGTCTCTGTCTCTCTCTCTCTCTCTCTCTCTCTCTCTCTCTCTCACACACACACACACACACACACACACACACACACACACACACACACACACACACACACACACACATATGTGCGTGGTTGGTAGGTGCTTTGGTGTGATTTGCTTCTTCTTTCCTATCAAACATCTATCGTCTTTATCTCTCCTCCTTCTTTTTGTGTTTGTTAATCTCTTGTTACACCTTATATGACCTTATTCTGTTGCAAGTGCCGTAAAACACTAACTAAAACTAAAAATCTCTCTCTTGCACACATGCACACATACACACACAGACACACACTCACACTCACACACACACACACACACACACACACACACACACACACACACACACACACACACACACACTCACACACACACTCACATACACCTCACACATATATATACACACAAACGCACGCGTGCATACATACAGCTCACAACATAAATTCACGAATTTGTGAGGTAAGCCCATACATCTATGGGTAAGCCTGTGTATCTCCTGACATCTAAATCGGCACACCGTCGCGGCTCCTGAACAAAGGCATAGACTGAGCACCCCCCTCCCCCTCCAAAATACACACACATACATTTTCTATGACCAGGTGTTTATTCTAATTCAGCTGCCAATGATCTTAATGGAGAAACAGAGACATACTAAAACTGCAACACTGGCGCTGGTGAAAGAAGATTTTGTGAAGAGGGAAATCACTGGTGTATATTTTGTCGAAGGAGTGAGTTTTTAATTGCTTCACTAAAAAAAAAAGACCTGTTTAATTTCATTCTAAGCCCTCACTGATTTTTTATTCCATTTCAATCATTTATATGCAAAACAAAATAATTTACCCTGCGTGGTGAACTGGAGTTACTGTAACATCGTGTAAATCCCTCCCCCAAAAAGCAACCACCCGCCCAACCAAAACAAAAAGACATTCACCAAAAAAACCCAACAACCCCACCCACACACAAGCAGGCGGCTCAGAGATGTGAATAATCATTTACCAGTTTCAATACCCTACTACCGTCATAACTTAAACTATTTGATTACAAAAGTTCAGGAAAGAGCGACCAGACAACAGCGTCAACTACACATAAATACAAACTATTATAATAAATATACAATTTTTTAAAGGATCACATACACCATACAGCAACCATGAGCTGTCCCGCCAAGAACAAGAGTGATTATCTTCCGACAAAGAACACAACACACAAGACTGAGACAGCATATGCACAGATGTTTTAAACCAATACAATCAACAAAATGCCAGTGTGGAGAGGCGGACCAAACTATTGAACACATCCTTCAGCATTGCAAGACAGACAGGGCCTTGAGACAGGAAACGTGGCCAACCCCACTGACACTACAAGAGAAGCTATATGAGCCGACAGATGAACTGAGCAGGACGGCCCAATATATTATGACAGACACCGGACTTCAAGTTCAAGTGTGATGCGATCGAGACGTAGAAGAGAAAAGTTCAGGATCAAACTTTTTACACATGTTGCTGCGACGTCTCAGTGAGCGAATCCTTTAGCTTCCTACGAACAGATTTCTGCGTTCTGCTGATTTTGCCATGTAGCCTACATGCAAGACTGCATAATTATGTATTTTACGAAGTCGGACTGTCATGCACTATTAAAAGGTAGCAGAGGACATTCGAGTTCAGCGGTTTTTTTAGTGCCATACCCTTGGTTCAAAGAAACGAGGGTTCAGATAAACGGTTAGTTTAGTCTCCTCACGGTAACAAGTTGAGGTCGTAGAACCATATAAATATCTCTCAAGAGTTATACAAAATTATCACGGTATTGCTAAATTAAAGTACGTTCCGCATCATGGTAATTAGGTATATTATCCACTCCGTTAAACCACACCGTTGTTAAGTTGTTGTTGTTGTTGTTGTTGTTGTTGTTGTTGTTGTTGTTGTTGTTGCTGTTGTTGTTGTTGTTGTTGTTGTTGTTGTTGTTGTTGTTTTGGTGGTTGGGGTGGTGGTGGTTGTTGTCGTTGTCGTCATTGTCTTTGTTAAAAATGTTGTTGTTGTTGTTCAGGCTGTTACTCTTTTTATGACAGTGATCAGTGTCAGATAATGTTTTGGATTGTCAATACTTTACTAGGACCGTAGTGTTGCAATATTGAACGAAAAACAGAAGGAGCGGACTACACCAGAGTGCTTCTCTCTCCCCCCTCTCTCTCTCTCTCTCTGTCTCTCTCTCTCTGTCTCTCTCTCTCTGTCTCTCTCTCTCTCTGTCTCTCTCTCTCTCTCTCTCTCTCTGTCTCTCTCTTTCTCTCGCTCCTTCATTAAATTCTGTATATATCTATATACTTGATCAAACGACTCCCTAGGCATGTTGTAGTTAAAATATAATACTTAACTCGCTATTACTATTAGACACATGATGAACAGTTGGAAAGTGGAGGAGCCCTTCAACACCCGTTGGCTGTTGGTGTATTATAGTTGTGTAGCCCTTCCAACATCAAAAGGCTTTTTAAGGGGCGGGACCTCCGAATATAACATCATCTCCAATAAGACCAAGCAAAATAGATCTAAATAAACCAAGTTCAAGAGCGCCCAGCTGGAGATTCGAACCAAGGCCAACTGCTCTGTGATCCAGCAAGATACCAACAGAGAGCACCCAACACGCGGTAGCACAATTACTCGATAAGAATTTTTTTTTTTTTTTTTTTTTGGGGGGGGGGGGGGTGAAAAGAGATATGGAATTACAAGGGAAAACAATAACCCAAAGCTAAACAAAGCAAAAAGGTTTTGACCAAACACGAATTCGAACTTCGAAACTTCGTGTAGCTGATCAAGTTTTTTACTGTCTGGTCCGAGAGCCGGGTCTATATAAAGTACTAGCCTAGAACCTTGTTTTTCATCATAACTTTTTTTTCTATGGTGATTCTGCTTCCTTAGGATTTCTAGATTTCATATCAGTCGGGGGCCAACTTGTATCTTATGGGCATACATTTTTTCTGCTGGTTGATATACACCAACCCGTATCATGCAAGAATGATTGCCGAGCTACTCATGGACGAGTCGACCAAGATTCGCGCGGGGTGCTAACGCTAACAGCTCTTCTCGCCGTGATGTCACAGGCTGCACCGAAAGGTGCACAGCATGGCCTGCTGCTCCCCTCTCCCCCCGATATGGACTCAGTTGGAAAAGCAAGGAGACACTGGCAGACAATGCTGCGTCACTGTCACACCACACCTCTGGGTACTGAAAACTAAAGTTCGACAGAGTTGAGCGGACAATTACAGTACATGTATCACCACAGAAGGTTGCATGATGTGTTTATGACCTGTAAACAAAATACAAGTGTTTCTTTCTTCAACACCGGACCCATACACTGAAGTACATGTAGAATACATGGGTACTCTTGGAATGTTAAGAAATTGAGAACTGTCGGCAATATCAGATATCCACGAACACATGCATCATGTTTCCTGAGTTATTTTATAAAGCAACACTGTGCTTTTGAGAATTCTAAATGATTAATTCGGAAGGAGGAAAAAGGGAGGGGGGGGGGGTAGAAAGAGAGATGGAGATATTACAAGGTGGGAGGGGGATGTATGGCATATTTTAATATTAAAAAAATCAGCCACGCCCTTGATCAAGATCGAATTGTTTGTAACGAGGGGAGCTCTCCGTTATCCCAGCGTTCTTAGTCAGTATGTATGGACGTTGGTCTATCGCTTGGCTACGTAAGCAAAGAATGTAGGACCACGCTACGTCACCACGAAGAAGTGATGTGATGAGGCTGGTTCGTGACACATAAACAAGCACACACACACACACACACACACACACACACACACACACACACACACACACACACACACACACACACACACACACACTCACACACATACACACACACACAGATACACACAGAGTGTCACACTCACTGACGCTTATAAACATATTGATGCGATTCTCTCTCTCTCTCTCTCTCTCTCTCTCTCTCTCTCTCTCTCTCTCTCTCTCTCTCTCTCTCTCTCTCTCTCAGACATGGAGTGGTTTTTTTTGCCAAAAAAAGAATCCGCGTCTGATCAAATCGAGACGGATTAGTAGTTTTCAGGAAGCAAGCCGGCAACGAAATGGTAGACTCAGTCAGAGACTTCTAGAAGATGCAGAGTTTTTACTGTGTCACAGGAACTGTAATAGCGTATTGTTCCAAAGACCATATTCAGCGACTTTTACAAAAGAGAAAGACTGGGAACTTTCTGAAAAAGAACCCAGACGTCTTAGGGGCTGTATTAAATCGTTAAATTGTCGTGAACATTGTTTTTTCTGTGCAGAAGCATGCTCACTGATAGCTCCTAAAACACTCAGATCGTTGGAAAAAAACCCTAATTATGCCGAACTGGAGAGGAACAAGGGAGGAAGATCACCAAGGAGGAAATACTAAAACGTGCCAAGGAACGTGGGGACAAATGAGGAACGGATGTCACAGTCAGCTTCTGTGTGTCACCAGCAGTCAGTGATTTGCATGACTCAAACTCTAGGTATCACAGAGACTGCATACTCTGGGTTCTACAAAAGCAGTCCATTGCAGTCAACTTGCTCACCTACTACGCCTTCAGTATGTTGGTTGACGAGATTCGATCAAACAAATCACGCATGTGGAATAATGTGGAAGTCCATGAATTCGATATTGAACTTAGAGAGAAAGACAAATCTCAACTTTCATCATAACCGCAGTTGCCACCATTTTGGGACGAGTTCAGTCAGCACCAGCGGCACATGTGGTCTTCGACAGATACTACAGACTGAGCACAAAGTCATGCAGTCAAAAAACCCGTCAGAAGGGGACAAGTTGTGTGTACAACCTGACTGAAGAGTCGCCTTTGCAACAGCAAAGTGTCATGCTGAAAGTCACAACCAACAAGGAACACCTGATACAAATAATTGTACATCATCTTTACAGCATGCACTTTCCACCAGGAACAGATGTTGTCATCACTGGACCAGATCAACACCCTATACACATGGGGTCTTAACTTCAACAAGACACTCTGTATCGAATTGTCATTAGGACAGAGGGACATCAGGGTTATTTCTGGTGACACCCATGTTCTCGTCATCATGGCCTATCATCTCTACAAGAAGACCAAATGAATGTCCCAAAATATGACTCTGTTCACTGAGTCGTGCACATCTACCCATAATGTCATAAGTGTCAACGACGTTATCAGACAGTAACCATAATGCCTAATCTGTTGGCAGCTCATGCCCTGACTGGTTTGTAACACAGTTTCTTCCTTTTCAGGAATAGGAAAGATGACAGTCCTCAAGAAGTTTGAAGTATTCTCCGATGAACTTAGGCTTGAGAATATGTCTGTTCCTTTCCAGGAAGTCATGCCTTCAGCTCACTAATCTGCTCTATTGGGACGAGTCAGGGGCCAATCTGAACAAAGTTCGAGCCAACATTTTCTGGAAGAGGATTGCTGGAAAGAGGCACATTCCCCCGAAACTGAGTAGCCTTCCTCCGACGGGGGAGTTTTCAGGCCCATATTAAACTAGCCCACTTTCAGGCTGTGCAGTGGCAAGCGCCAGGGGAGCCATCTCCTCCTGAGCTGGATCCTGTTGAGTATGTATGGCAGGCCTTGGACTTGATGCTCAGCTGCCAGCTCCTGATGAAGTTCTCAATCTGGTCAGTTGCAGTTGTAAAACTTGATACAGCACAACACAGTGCACCTGCACCAAAACGTCTGTCACGTGTACAACATTTTGCAAATGCAGAGGAAGAATTGCCTGCAATAATCAAAGACTGTCATTGCCCCCCCCCCCAATGACTGTGAGGATACATGAACTGTCTACAGACGCCCTTCAGTCCCTATTTATGTGAGAACTAGCAGCAGACACTGGCGAGTGTCTTAGTGTTTTCTCCCTGTCAAACAATTTAATTAGTTTCAAGTATATTGCGGATCAGCACATTATGAAAGCTAGATGGCGTCCATCTTGTTTTCTTTGAAGTTGCCATTTTATCGAATATTTGATGTGTACTTCATCAAGTGTGGTTTACTTTTGTTACACTGCATGCTGTTCTATTAAGTTTGCACATTTTTATATCTTTAAATGCATGATATCCCTCACAACATCTTTCACTTGAAATTCTATGGCGGCCATCTTGGATTTTCAGTTTTAGACAATAATGCCCAAAGTTTAGCATTTGGCTCGCATTAGATTTGAAATCAGAAATGAAAACTCAGTTAGAATCACTAAAGATAAAAACTTTATGACACAAAACAAACTTTTTCATCTGGCGCTCGGACTACAGGGCATTATTTTGTTTGCATTTATTTTCTTCAATACAGTGTATTGTTCTCCATTCTACAGGAGGGCAGGCTGGCCACAGTACAATACGGAAGACATGAAGTACCTGGACTTCAAACCTCGTGCAGAGGTCAAACAGGGTCTGGAGATGGACAAGAGGAGATTCTGGCTGGAAGAACTCACGAAATCGGCTCCTGAAAAACATATGCATACTGATTTGTAGATCTATTACTTGTATAATCGCGTGATATTTCTTCGGATATTATATTAGGTTTTATACAGAAAGACATATTGTACTTTCACTTCAATGAGGAAACGGATAAGTGAGAGAAGGTTCTGGCTCGGAGGCCTTTGAGAACTTGTTCTGAAAAGGTAAAAATGCAAACGGGTTTGTAAGAGTGTCAGCGATAAGCCATAAGATATTGTTTGTGTACTAGGTCGTATGATTATGTAACGAGGCCAGCTCTACTCCGTACGGCACACATAGAAATGTATTTTTTTGTACATGGAAACAGTAGTATGCCAGTTCGGTTTATGACAACAAGGCAATATAGTAACTGAGTCTGTTTCTAGTAGTGTGTTACGAGGGAACAACATGTAGGCTTGGGGCCTATATTTATTTCAAGATAACAACTGAATGAGGAACCATCAACCTGCAAGTTTGTGAGTCAATCAGCAGATCTGACAGGGGAACAGAAGTTGAAAAATAACGATCAGTCACCTATCTTGCCCTCTTTAAGCAATCAGATGATCGAAACTTTAGACCAATTTTATTAAAGTTCTGAATGGAGAGAAAACTGACACCCCTCTGATCTGTGGCTGTAGTTGATCTAACAGATAATTTTTCAGGCAGTGTTTTTTCCTTTTATATTATTTCTATTGTTTCTACTGGGTTACTAGGTGGACTCTCTCTCTCTCTCTCTCTCTCTCTCTCTCTCTCTCTCTCTCTCTCTCTCTCTCTCTCTCTCTCTCCCTCTCTCTCTCTCTCTATCTATCGTTTCTCACTCTTTCTCTCTCTCTCTCTCTCTCTCTCTCTCTCTCTCTCTCTCTCTCTCTCTCTCACACACACACACAAACAAACTCACAAACGCACACACACTCATAAAAACACAGGCACAATCAAATAAACACGTATACGCACACTTATGCCTGCAGGCACATACCCATGACTTGCTTTATTATTCTCCATCATTTAGATGGCTAGTTTGATTTATTCAGATACTAGACAACTCCACAATTATGCTGTGTATGCTATTTTCGAAACAATAAAACATTTTAGTTCTTGGTTGGTTTTTTTCAAATACCCGTTTTTCTCTTTTGTCTTTTCGTAAAACGTTTCACTTTATTGGTTCCCAGAGGTGTTGTTTTTTTCTATAATTCTCACACAATCCAGACCTACAACAATTTTGCGTGGCGTCTGAACTGAAAGAACCGCAATGCTATTGTGTACGGTTTTATTGATATTATTTATTTAAAGAGTTTTTTAAAAAGTTCTTTAAGCACACTGTTTACGAATAAGATAATAAACACGGCTCAAGTTTGTGCACAATATAATCATCCAAGTTGGGTTTTTTTTTCTCTCCGAAGTTTCGTCTATAGTTACTTTTAGTTGTAAGAGAGACTACGAAATAGCAACCCTTCTTTCTGATTCACCGTTCTCTAAATACTTAACGCAATGACCAATTACTTAGAGTTTCAACACGACAAAATATGAAGCTTATGTCAAGATATCTAATTGAGACTTAAACATTTTGAGACTGGAAGAAAAGGGGGGGGGGTGTAGGATTGAAAAACGGGGTAGGGGAGGGAAGGGGGATTGAGAGGGGATGGCAAAGAGGGGAAAAAAAAGAAAAACATTGCAATGAAACAGGGAAGCATGATATTCCCTGTGGATGTCATGGGTACGGGCAGTCAGAATTGTGTAAGAACAATTTGTTAGTTGTATTTTTTTTTGAAGAATAGTCTTTGACATCCCGGAGGACTTGCCGCCATTGACCAGCAATGATGTCAACAATGGAGACACAGAGCAGTTCATCATGTCGTGATAGGTCTCTGTAGATGTGGAGTCTGTAGCCCAGTGGTTAGGCTAACCGGGCCTGTTACCTTGAGAATGTTGGTTCGGGGTTAAATCTTCAGCTCTGTGCGATGTTTTGTCCTTGGGAAAGGCACGTTTGATCATAGGGTAGGTAAGATCAAACACCTAGCCTTTTTGGACAAGGGTGAAATATCTCGATGGTCTCATGTGCAAGTTGCACGTGGTAAAGACCATTAGTAGTCCTAAAGTGGATAAAGAGTAAGCTTGCTTCGACATGCACCCGGGCACAATTCAAAAGGTCATATTATAGGTGCCGAAGATTAGAGGCATTACTAGAGAGTAATATACGAGGAAAAGAAGGAGACATAAGGACGATTTAAATACTTAGATGTTTCTTTCTCCAGAGATCTATAAACAGTTTGTGCACTCGTAAAGAGTGTCTCTGAAATGTACCAACATGTTCATACTATTTAAAACGGTCTTTCCGGGTAGATGTTTTCTTCTTGTACATAGTTGCTGCACGACGCAAAGACAATGAGTCATGAACAACTGCGTGTATGGCAAATTTCATGTTTCCGAATTAAAAGGTTCTTTTCATTTTGGGCTTGGCCTGGTAGCAGCCTGTGGAATAAGAAAACACAAGAGTACGATTTAAAATTCAAATTCTATACTTCCCTTCATTCCCCCTACTCTTACTCATCAGTCGTTGGGAGACTTGAAACAGTGTACGAAATCACCCCCAACCCCTTGTCTCCCTACACAAGGGCAGTGTAGGAAACAAGTTCATGGAATAGAGGTAATGAAAAACAGCTTTAGTTTTAAGGCCACAGGCGTGTTTTGGGGGTCCAGTTTGGGTTCAAACAATATTTTTGAGGGGTTTGATAAACTTCCCTTAAAAACTATGGCCTAAATCGAATGGAAGTACTCTCAAAACTCTATTTCAAACAAATAACTCCATAAAATTTGTAATTTTGTGAGCCAATACAATGCTTTAAAGCAATTTTGAGATGTTTTTGCTCCTTTCCTGAAAATGTTCATTTCTTGGCTTTAAAAGCTAAAAGACTCAAAAAACCATTCAAGTTAAAGACATGAAATTTGGAGAGTACGTGCACCATGCAAATTTCAAATACAAGAACGCTAGCTTTTCTAATTTTTGAAGAAATATAATTTCAATGATGTTTTTACTTTGCTGTTTTGACTTTTTTTTGTCATTCGCTAATATGCAAGTCTTCTTAAAGTAATAAAATTTACAAATACATTGTATATGTAGTTAGTTTATAGATAGCATGGATGTTTGTTTTTTTAGATTTTAGCGTTGAAAATGGTCCTTCAGAGAGCCTGGTTTCACTCTATTTTGTCATTTATGTGATTATGTATCTGATAATAATAATAATAATAATAATAATAGATAGCATTTGTATGGCGCATATCCCAGCTCAGCAGCAGGCTCTATGCGCTTTACACTATATTATTACCCCAGCAGACCATAGAAGACTCCGAAACATTCTCAGCTTCCCGAGAAGCATACAGTGCAAGCAGCCGATTAAGCGCTCAAACACTAACAAACTGACAAGATCTTTCGCTGTCTAAAGCCGGGTACCCATTCTCACCTGGGTGAAGTGAGGAAAATTCGTGTAAAGTGCCTTTCCCAAGGACACAACGTCGGGTCCTTGGCGGGATTCGAACCCACGACCTTACGGTTGCGAGTCCGAGAGCCTAAATGATTCTCAAAACTGAATATTTTTAATCCTTAAATGGAAGGCTTTCAGAAAATTAGAAAAAAACAAATAAAACGACTTAATTGTAGATTTTGGTGCTAAGAAGTAGAGTGTGACCTTAAGAATTTGGTGCGTGACAGGCACCCTCGGCATTTCACTACATTATTAACTTAATTAACTAATGTTCCATGGGCCAGTAGAAACAGCGGAAGTAGAACCCAGTGGCACACACACGGCAAAGACCAAATCGCACTTCTGTTTTTGCTTACTACTCCAAAAAAGTAGAACTATGTGGTAAACACGAGACAAAGCACAAAGCGCACGTCTGTTCTTGCTAAATACTCACACACACGACGGGAAAAGTGTCCAGTAAAATTTGAAATAGCTAGTGGCAGCGTGAAAACATCTGAGAGCTTCGATTTACAGGAAAAACCGTCAAACCTGAAAACTTTGAAAACATGCCCACGTAACCCTTTGTGACAATTCTTAACTGAATCTTATTTTTGTAGATTTTATGGGCACCTGTGTAAAAAAATGTATACTGACCTCACAAACGGGCTTAGCTTCGATGGCCGACAGAAGCTATTTCTTTTAAGGGACGGGGATGTAAAAATGGGTAGGGGTAGGAAATACGGGGTGGGGTGGGGGTGTGTTTGCCAATCGTACTAGACAAATTAAACGAGTATAAATTCCCCAATCCCCATAAACTCCTAAGAAAAGAGAAGAGAGTGGAGGAACGACATCCAGCAATCACCCTTCAATTCGAAGCAACTGCCTGGCCTGGCCAAACTCGTGACTCAGCAATCCTGCCCTGTATGTGTGTGGGGTGTGTGATGCGCGACCTGCTCATTGTAAACCCTCTCCAAGGTCAAAGTTCCCACTGTTACGACCGAAACAGCTAGCAAAACTCGGCAAGATAAAGCCTTTGTCATTCAACCGTTCAGTATACATTGAAAAATAAAAAGGTTCACCGTGATATCGTCTGTGATAATGTTCTGAGACGGACGGACGTGCATTAGATATTCATGTTAAACCTATCCATACGCCCTGGAGTCATATTGTACCCCCGGGGTTGTATTCTCCACATTTTAGGATACTTCTAGTACGAAGACCTCTTTTAAACTTTCAGTATTTCTCAAAAAATCATTTCGATAGACTGCTATGCAAAGCGTTTTGATTGGATTTACAGGTAAATATCCTCTTAGGAAAGAAACAGTACAGAGTCCCACGCGTCGTATGGATACGATAGTAGAACACGACGTATGGATAGGGTTACGTTTTTGTAACGGTCTTGTGCAGTCTAGCCACACACTGCTTTATTGACATGTACTAAGGCTAATGTGGAAATGCTTGTTCTTCTGTTTGAAGTTGATAGTTACAGTTAGTCTGATGGGTATCTGCAGTAACTGCAATTCTTTAGACCTAAAATGCAATTCAATTATGGCCTATATCTATAAAGCAAGGAAAAACTTATGCCAATCGACGTTTCAGTAAGCAGCTCTCAAGTTCAGTGGGTTATGCTGCGTGCTATATTTTGAACGGGGCTTCTTTGCTTTGCATTGGCTTGGTCCTACGTTTGGGCTTGTTTGAAGTTAATAGTTCCTGTTAGAACTTAGACATAAGGCTGCCTGTTGAGACTATAATTCATTAGTAGTACATTTCTTTCTTTTCAAATGGCTGGACGTACTCATCTTGCTTTCATCATCGTAGTTTTGCATACAATCTCTCTAGTGAGGGAATGTCAAGCCACCGCCCCCACCGTGTCCGCCCCTGCCGGCAGATTCCAGGGTCTTCTGGAGAATGATCAGAAAGGCCAGCCGTATTTTGCCTTCAAGGGGATTCCATACGCAAAACCACCAGTTGGAGAACTACGATTTGCCTTGCCAGAACCTTTGCCCAAATTAGGTTAGTGCTGAAATATTTTTTGCTGTGTGAAAAACACTTGATTTCCAACTTTCAATAGAAATATCAATGTTCTTTATGCAGGCACAGAAGCAAATCCGTTTATTTTTCTCCTCACTGCCAGAGACTTTTTTTCTTGATGAATGTTGAAAGTTAAAGGTTTGATCTCTTTGACTGTTAAAACACATTTGAAATACAAAGCACAAACCATTGATTATTTTATGAACATTGCGTTTTACGCCTTGGACGGAAGAGTGATACAGCGTCTTTAACTGGTCCTAATCAAATCAGT